CGAAGTCGTCCCGACTTGATCGTGAAGGGGTGAACCTCAATAAAACGTACGCGCTACAGGGGCTTGGTGACATGGAGCCACTACGAAATAGCGCCAACTTTGGTCTGTCTGAAAAAGATGCACTCAAGTATGAGAGTTGGAGGGAGCGTGCGAAATACACCTCGCCACCACTTCCGTTTACGCCTCTTGCGGCACGAAAACTCGCTTCAGGTGCATTCTGGCCCTCAGCGCCTGAACCGACGGGGATGATGAGTAAGGAGGTGCGGTTTTTGCGGCATGCGTCGAATATGTCACCGAGTGCCCGTGCATTCTGTGAGCGGGTGGCGTATCATTTGCGCCGTTCTTTGAAGGCGTGTCCTGCACACATTGGGGAGCGCATAGACTTTGCCCAGCTTGTCATTCAGGAAGTTTTAGGGTCACGCCGCTCGAAGGAGATTTATATTGTGTGGTCAACGGTGGATCCAGGGGCGCGGTACGAGTTGGAGCCTTTACTTTATCAATTGAATCATTGGGTTCAACGGCTGGTTATTTCTCGAGTGAAGAGTCGTCCTCATATCCCTCGCGTGTCTTGGATCTACGATGGTGGCCGGCTGGAGCGAGAGATGCCACGGGAGTTGGTGAATGAAATGAAGAATTTTGCTGGTGAGGCCTCCACCACGCTGGAGACGCGTGTAAAGTACCTCAAGGAGCTTGACACAATGAACCAGCGTATGAAAAACATCCCATGGTTTATGCCGTACCTGTGGAACAAGGAGGAAAAGGCCACACGGCGCAAGATGATGGAGGCAGATTTGGCAGAAGTGGAACGGCGCCAGCAGAATGAGAACACTGTGCATCGTAGCTCGCCCCCACAGACGAGCCCACCACCGCAGTTTATCCGCTAGTTTCCAAGTGTGTGTGTGTGTGCGCTGTTTTTTTTTTTTTTTCTGCCAACTGCCTTGGCGTTTTATATGTTTTTTGTTCATAAATGTGTCTTTTTCTCTCTCTCTCTCTCTCTCTCTGTTTTTTTGTATGTGCTTGTGTGCGTCTGTTATTATTATTATTATTATTATTATTATTATTATTATTATTATTCTTTATTCCCATGAACGATAACTGTGTTCAATTGTTTTTAACAAATTTTTTTTTTTGCCACCATCTTAAAAGAAAAGGAAAAAAAAAAAAAAGAATTGATCAATTACTTTTTCGCAGGGTGTTGTGTTGTGCGGGCTGTCTTTTCTTCTTCTTTATTGTTATTGAAGTACCGAATACGGGACGCGTGTCGGGTGTGGCTGCCAAATGACGCGCCACGCACGGGTGACAGCTGCGCACCACATGGTTGTGTTGCAGCCCAAGACGCAGCCCACGAGTCAGGATTCATCGCATCGCCGCGCAGCCACACGACGCTTTGCGCCATGGCGAGCCGCCAATGCCGCTGGAGAGAGTGAACATGAATTGGATGCGGAATTATCGTGCGGGCCGTCATGTGGCGTCTCCCGCTCGCATCAGGAAAATGTCGAACGATCTGCGAGGCAACCCTCGAGTGCGTTATTTTTCTCCCCAATTGGCAAGCGAACGGCGTTGCAACGAAGAGATTTTGTGACTGGCGGTGTTGCATCCACGACCGCTTCCGCCGTTTTTTGCTCACGGCGCAGACTACATGAACTTGGTGTGTCTGTTTCTGAAGAAAATGTGATGGCAGCGGGGGATTTTGTATCGCTTCTGGACGAAGTTGTTGTTCCTGCAAAATATGCGGTTCGCCTGCATGATGTCGAGGGGAGAATGTTGGTTGTTCATGGCGATGCCAGTGTGGAGGCGTCTCCCATTGCCCCTTATCTGGATCGCTCTAGCGTCAATGACGGGAAATATTTTTACATGAAACCGTTACTGGAACGCCCTGCCCTTTTTAGCAGTTCCCATTTGTGGAATACGGGTACGAGTGACGGTGCCGGCGTTGCCGTGCCCCGGTGGAGACAATACACAGTGGCGGTGGCACTTTACATTGCGCTGGCCGATGCCGGGTATTGTGATCGGGCATTACCATTTCTGTCGATTCAATGGATAAATTGGCGAAGGTTGTTGCGTCACCAGATGCATCTGAGAATTGAACTCATGAAAAATGACGTCACACGTGAATTGTTGCAGCCATGCTACAAACATCTCCATCATTCTCGTGATATCAAACAAGAAGAAGAAGAAGAAAGAAAAGTACCAGTGGCATTACATCTTCCACTTTCCACAAAGGGCGTTCTGCGCCGTCCGTGCGGAGCAAAAGGGGAGTTGCCATCTTTGTCTACCCAACCATTTACAGATGCGGAAGTGTTTCAGCTCTTTTACCTTCAGCTTGTTTTTCGTGCTGTGTATGATATACGTTTCCCTGGTATGATGGCTGAGGCGGAGGGAAATCCCCTGCGTTCTGATCTTGTGGGGGCGGTCAACAGTGGCGTGCAACCGTTAGCATTTGAGCACCCAACTTTGCCTGACCACTGGCTCCTTTTTCCGCCACGATCACGGGTACTTTACTTGGTGTCTCTCGAGGAAGCCATTATTCCACACTATACATCTCCGCAAACAATTTTGGATACGACACGGCAACGGCTTTTTGGCGCCACGCCACTGTTACCGTGTCAAGGTCAATTAGGACGAGAAGTGGTCATGAAATGGGCAGTGCATCGTGTTATCCAATCTCCACAGGAGGCTTTTATTGCGTTAGAAGAATTATTTAAATTTTTTGAGGATCCCTATGGCATCAAACGACGATTTATATGGCAGGCCTCCGTTGCACCACGTACATATCGGTGTGGAATGGCTTCTCTGACCCGGTTGCATGAGAACAACGTAGAGCTGTCTAAATTTTTTTATTCGCTAAAGAATTTTGACGGTGCTGTTCCACGGGGGATTTTACCCTTAGCCGCTGAGAAAACACAAGTGGATACAGGAATCAAAGAAGATGGCATCGTACAGCTTTGGCGACAATACCTTCAAGAAGGTTCTATTGCATTGTTTGATGGAAACACGGATGCTATTGAGATTATACGGTTCCTCGGGAGTGGTGGTAGTAGTTTGGTATACGAGGGAAGGCTTGGTCCACAGTCCCTTCCTGTTGCTGTAAAATGTCTCATTCTTCCAAAAGGCATGGATCACGAGACGTATGTAAAAGAATCTCTGACTAATGTGGCGTTTTTTGTACTTTTTAATCAAATGGAGAGATGCGGTATTTTGGGAGGGACTCATATCTACGAGTTTGTAGTGAGTGACACCCCTCCCAAAGGGATGCCAGAGGAGGATGTGCTTAAATGCAGCCGTGGGGCGCATGTCAATTCCGGCACAAAACTTTGTTACGTCGTGACGCAACTCATGGATGGCGTTATTGGCAGGTTTGTGACGGAGGAGGAGGATGCATTTGACCCTTGCTATGATACCATTGTCAACACCCCGCTGTGTGACGGGGAAGTCTTTCAATTCTTGTATACCCAACTTGTCGCGCGGGCGTTGTTTGATTATATTATTTTAGACTTTATGCTGCACGGCCAGCTTCGGGGTGATAATGTCGGCTACGCTTTTGTTTCCCGTGATGAAGGGGGGGCACCCGGTCGTCCATCGTATGACGGCATCATCATGATGTTTCAGACACCAAAAGACGCCTCCCCACGATATCTACGATTTCCTGCAGGCATCTCGGATTCAAGGGAGCTGAGACCGCTGCGCTTTATCCGCTTTATCGACCTTGGGCAGGGGAAGCAGCCAACGACGGAGAGATTGTCGCAACGCGGTCTCATTGGCGAGACGGTTGTGGACTCCTGCATCACGGACGATGGACTTGGACGCTACTGGCCTTTGGACCGCATTTATAGTAAATACATTGATACGGTTGGCACGTTGGCCCGCACGGCGGTTGAATGGGGAGCCAATCTTTGCGTGGACTCCCCGCAAGCGGCGGAGGCTGCACTGGAGGAGTTATTTGAGCTCTATGCGCCCATGTATGGTGTCGCGACGCCAAAATCCGAGGAACTTGCCAGGCATGCCGTCTTTGAATGGACTCCTTTGACCGTGAGAGAACTGCGTCGTCAGTCTGTGTACCGGGGAAAAGACGACGACAGCAACTGACGACGATGGTTCACGGAGAGAGAGGGCGTGTCTGTGTGTGTGTCTCTGTCTTTGGTGAGGTGAATGGAGGAATAATTGGGAGGGAAGGGGGGAGTTCCTGTGGTGTCTTTGTTTAAATGTATGCCCGGATTTTTGCACTCATATTATTATTATTATTATTATTATTATATTTTTCTCTTTTAACTTTTTTCAAAACTTTCTTCCCTTTCCTTCTCTCTTATTTAAATATATACACCCATGCTTTTCTGTGTGTGCGTGGTTATTTCTATTACAACAAGAGAGGAGGGAGCGGAGGCAGTTATGCGTTCCACCAGCTATTTGACCTCACATCTCACCACCGACATGTAATATACATATATGCATATATGCACGCAGAATGAGAAATACACAGTTGCGGGCATGGGTTGAATACATCTACGGCTGTTTTTTTTTTTTTTTCTTTTTTTTTGTCTGTATGTCTTATTCTCTTTTCATGTGAAATACTGCAGTTCCCATTGACGGGAAGACACACACACACACACACAAAAGAAAAAAACGGGTGCGTCACATTCATGGTTTGCTTTTGAGAGGGGAAGAGGGGGAAAACGGGATTTGGGGGGTGGAAAAATGTGAATCCGTGAATGAACGCGCATTGAGTTCATGTGCATCATTTCTGCGTTTTTTTTTTTTTTTTTGGTTTCACATGTAAAAAAAAATAAATAAATAAATAAAACGAGGGAGATGGAAAAGGAGCGTTGATGTAAAAACTGTGAGAAAACAACGAGTGCCACATCTTCATATTTATTTATTTACATTTATATATATGTTTATATTG